CTACTATATCACATTTCTCTAGAATATAGCCATTTTGAGATATATGAATCGACTTTTTATGCTTATTTATCAGAAAAAAATCGCTTTTTATGCTATTTTACTGTGTTTAGTATTTTGACTATAACATTGTCATTTCTCAATAAATTTCAAAAAGTTTTTTTACCAAAATGATCAGCGAAAAAAGCTCTACAAAATCTGATAGAAAAGAAAATTTTTTTAATACTTTGTGTTTTTTGGTTGATTTCCCATGGAACCATCCGTAGAAAAAATAGAGAATATAAGAGTAAAAAATTATCTATAAAGTTAAACCTATGGGGTTTGTTTATACTTTACATGTGAATTTCATTTGATATTTTTAAGTGAAATCAATAAAGGATGTTGATCAACTTGACACGATACAAGTTTGTTTTGTGTTTGTAACATAAATCAAGTTGATAGTAGTCTTACAACATGTGGAAGTCAATATAACATAACAGAAGAATTTTTTCGACAATGAAAAATGGATTTACAAGTCGAATATGTTCAAATCTTAAATATATTGTATTGATTATGACAAATTTATATGATTGATTCTTTTTTACATAATAGAATGAAATGAAACAATTTTATTATATCTTGTAGTAAATCATTTAACAGATTGCAGTAAAATCAATATGATTTGTACAACGCTAGAGCTTTCGACCCATATCAGAAGTCATCATCGGTAGAATTTTGTTACGATGAAGCTGATAGAAAAGAGTCTTATGAATATATTTGATTGTATTATAATTAACATTTTGTAGTTACATAGGCACTTGATCAGCTCAATAACAATACAAGCCTACTGCTTATGACTCCTGATATGGGTCAAAAGCTCTAGTATTGTACAAATTAATTTTAATATAATTTACTAGATGACTTAGTAAAAAATAAAATAAAATAATTTCGTTTTATTCTATTATTATATAAAAGTCTTATGAATATATTATTTCTATTCTTCTTTTTTTCATTTTAATTTACTTATTTGTCTCTGTTTAGACACGAAAAACTAGAATCATCTAGTTCACCAGTGATTCTTTTTTTTTCTTACTCTTGATTGAATACGAACAAATTGTTTAAATGTTGTAGATCAATTTTTATTCAATGTAGAATATTTTAAATAAAAAACTGTTTTTCAATAATGATGATATTGTATCATTTTGTATTTTGAAATAGTGATTTCTCAATCATGTATTTGAGTGCTGGTCTATAGTGTAAAGAGAATAAATACATATGTGATGAATTGATCGTCGACGAAAACAAAGATGACAATGATCATTTCATCAATTATTGAGTTCATGAGAATCAATTGTTTTCTTTTCGATTTCGATCATCAATCTTTTAATTGGTGGAGAAAAAAAAACAACGTAACGTCATTGACTAAAAGTTCAGGTCTCAAACATATACAAACACTGATTTTTTTGTATGAAATCATTCTATTGAAATAAATATCTCATCATCAATACATCGAATAAGCAGTCTAATGATTTCATTTTTAGGAGGTGCAATCTATATTTATTATAATGAAATTTATACAACCATACGGTACCGTATCATTATTTACAATGTTTCGAACTCGAATGTTAACATTATTTATTAACTTACATAATGATTTATTCCAATCTCAAATCGGGTATGTTGCTTATTTTTTTCTTGAGAAGGAGAATAGAGAGATAAAACAGTTACTAACTATGTTCAGTCTTTTTTTTCTTATTGCGATCGAAATAAATATAAATAAATTGAAAAGTCCTAGTGGCCGATAGAACTTTTCAAGTTATTTTTTCGATAAGGTAGACATAATTTAATCCAGATGGAATTTTTTTTTTCTTTGTACAACTAGAGTGAGGTACCAACTTATATCACACCCTGTCAGATGGCTTCATACTCTGACCCAGGGAGATCTCTTGTGCCTGTGATGGCGAAAGCAGTGTAGTACTCTGGAAGGTCGTTATGTTCCTAGGTCCCTGTCGTCATTTACGTACGTCATACCTACGTTCGTTACCTTATCAGTCCGCCATGGTCGCGCGCGTGTACGCGAAATTGAGCCGAGAAAAGCCGGGAAGTGAGGTGAATAGCAATCAAAATCAATTTATTGAGCAAGCGAGAAGAAAAACCAACACAGTTACATTTTCTTTTTCACAGAGTTAATGTTATCTATTGTTGTTTTAATGTTAGGATGTGTTGGCGGAAGTGATTCTTCGAGGATGGCAAGTGACTTTTCTAGATATGAAACTGCTTTTGGGTAGTCACCTTGTCCGGAATAAGCCACACCGATGTTGTTGTAGGAAGTAGCCAAATCGGGATGATTCGGAGGCAGAGTTTTTTCTCTAATTCTAAGTGATTTGTCGTAAAACTCAAGTGCTTTCGAGTAGTTACCCATGTCGATGTACACTCCACCGATGTTGTTGTAGGAAGTAGCCAATGAGGGATGATTCGCAGGCAGAGTTTTTTGGAAGATTTGAAGTGATTTGTCGTAAAATTCAAGTGCTTTCGAGTAGTTACCCATGTTGTCATACACCGAACCGATGTTGTTGTAGGATTGAGCCAAATTAGGATGATCCGAAGGCAGACCTTTTTCTCTTATTTTAAGTGATTTGTCGTAAAATTCAAGTGCTTTCGAGTAGTTACCCATGTTGTCATACACCGAACCGATGTTGTTGTAGGATTGAGCCAAATTAGGATGATTCGAAGGCAGAGCTTTGTCTCTTATTTTAAGTGATTTTTCGTAAAATTCAAGTGCTTTCGAGTAGTCACCCATGTCGCTGTACACTCCGCCGATGTTCCCGTAGGAAGTAGCCAAATCCGGATGATTCGAAGGCAGAGATTTTTCTCTTATTTGAAGTGATTTTTCGTAAAATTCAAGTGCTTTCGAGTAGTCACCCATGTCGCTGTACACTCCACCGATGCTGCCGTAGGAAGTAGCCAAATCTGGATGATTCGAAGGCAGAGCTTTTTCTTTTATTTTAAGTGATTTTTCGTAAAATTCAAGCGCTTTCGAGTAGTCACCCATTTTGTTATGTACTTGACCGATGTTGTTGTATGAAGTAGCCAAATCTGGATGATTCGAAGGCAGAGTTTTTTCGAAGATTTTATGTGATTTTTCGTAAAATTCAAGTGCTTTTGAGTAGTCACCCATGTTTGTATACGCGGAACCGATGTTGCCGTACGAAGCAGCCAATGAGGGATGATTCGAAGGCAGAGCTTTTTCTCTTATTTTAAGTGATTTTTCGTAAAATTCAAGTGCTTTCGAGTAGTCACCCATGTCGCTGTACACTCCGCCGATGTTCCCGTAGGAAGTAGCCAAATCCGGATGATTCGAAGGCAGAGATTTTTCTCTTATTTGAAGTGATTTTTCGTAAAATTCAAGTACTTTCGAGTAGTCACCCATGTTGTTATAGACTAGACCGATGTTGCCGTACGAAGTAGCCAAATCTGGATGATTCGAAGGCAGAGCTTTTTCTCTTATTTTAAGTGATTTTTCGTAAAATGCAAGTGCTTTCGAGTAGTCACCCATATGACTGTACACTCCACCGATGTTGCCGTAAGAAGTAGCCAAATCTGGATGATTCGAAGGTAGAGCTTTTTTTGTAATTTCTAGATCTTTTTCGTAAAATTCAAGTGCTTTCGAGTAGTCACCCATGTTGTTATAGACTAGACCGATGTTGTTGTACGAAGTAGCCAAATCTGGATGATTCGAAGGCAGAGCTTTTTCTCTTATTTTAAGGGATTTTCCGTAAAATTCAAGTGCTTTCGAGTAGTCACCCATATCACTGTATACTTCACCGATGTTGCTGTATGAAGTAGCGAATGAGGGATGATTCGAAGGCAGAGCTGTTTCTTCTATTTTAAGTGATTTGTCGTAAAGTTCAAGTGCTTTCGAGTAGTCACCCATGTTACTGTACACTCCACCGATGTTGACGTAGGAATTAGCCAATACGGGATGATTCGGAGGCAGAGCTTTGTCTCTTATTTTAAGTGATTTTTCGTAAAATTCAAGTGCTTTCGAGTAGTCACTCATGTTGTGATACACTACACCGATGTTGTCGTAGGTAGTAGCCAATGAGGGATGATTCGGAGACAGAGCCTTTTCTCTTATTTTACGTGATTTTTCGTAAAATTCAAGTGCTTTCGAGTAGTTACCCGTGCGGGTATACACCGAACCGATGACGTTGTAGGAGAGAGCCAGATCGGGATGATTCGGAGGCAGAGCTTTTTCTCTAATTTTAAGCGCTTTTTCATAAAATTCAAGTGCTTTCGAATAGTCACCCATGTTCTTATACACTAGACCGATGTTATTGTAGGAAGTAGCCAAATCGGGATGATTCGGAGGCA